TGGTTAGAACACGGTTAAGAGCATATCGAAATTGTTGAAAATTTTGTTTCTGAATGGCACGTGTGTGTTATGTATACACCATACAGAACGGTTCAGATTGGCAATTAGAAAATCCGTGTTTTGAATTTTAAATGATAATATCAGTATATTGTATATTGGATGCTATTAATATTAACTTAGCTCAATTGCGTGTGTGTATATATATGAGAAAAATGGGTATGCTTGGTACCAAGTACAAAACGTTGTGTTTGGTAGTGAAGTGGCAAAATTCTTTCCATTCATTCAAATGGTTGTATATCCCCATGTACTCCTCAACTCATGTGAATTTGGTCTCCATTTGAATGAGTGGAGGAAATTGTGCCACCTCACTACCAAGCACAAAATTTGTGCTTGGTACCAAGCAAAAAGCACCAAGAAATTGATGCTTATTCTTGATTTATCGCAGAATGTGGACCAGCCTGCGACTACAGATGCTCTGCAACATCACACAGGAAGCCGTGCCTGTTCTTCTGCAACAAATGCTGCGCGAAATGCCTCTGTGTGCCCTCTGGCACCTCAGGACACAAGGAAGAATGCCCTTGCTACAACAATTGGAAGACAAAAGAAGGAAAACCAAAATGTCCCTGAAAAGTTATAAATGAAAGGGTTAATTGCATATAGGCCCCCTGTATTATCGTTGTTTTGAGCTAACTACTCCCGCAGTTTTATTGTTGCAGATAGACCCAGGGTTGAACTTTTTCGACTCACAATCACTAATTTCACCCATGGACAATATCTTCCAAAATTTCACCCAGACCCAGGGGTTTATCTGCAACAAGGAAACTACAAGGGTAGTAAGTTTAAACAATGATACAACTGGGGTTCTACGTACAGTTAACCCTAAATGAAATAGTCAACCACTACTTTTTTTTGTCAACAATTTCAAATGAACGAATAAATCAATTAATCAATAATCTTCAATGATACAATGCGGACAATAGCTCCTTTGAGAAATAAGCAACTGTTGGATGTTCCAAGTTAAGGGAAGGGATGATTTTTGTATATATTGTGCTATGAATCGCATCGGCACATGATGCGTTTCGAATGTAAACCAATACAGGATTGGTAACGGTACATGATTCCAAGAATGCCTTCACTCATAGCCGATACGTCAAAGGTCTCAATGAATCTTAAGTCTGATGCACGAACTTTTGCTGCCGCGAAACGTTGGTATTCTTCAAACACAGAGGTCATACACCAGTTCTGTAGTTTCCTCAAACAGCCAACTAAACAGCCAGTACGATGCTGTGATGATTAAATTCGAGGAAATGGTAAATATTCAAATAAGGTTGATATTGGGAATAACAGTTTAGAAATCATATACCTTTCCCTTTTTGCAGTGAATCAGAACTGGATGATTCCTTACATCTGAAACAAGATGGCAAATCACAATTTCCATCAGATGGAAAAAAGAACAGAGAAAGTTAGAAATTAAAAGTTGTTTCTTCTGTGGACTCTAGTACCAAGTAAGAGTTTGAGAGCTCCCATGATAGCATCCCTTGGTATCTTTGCAAGAGGCTCCTGCAGATTCAAAGCAACTTGATGAGTTAATATAAAAAAGTTTTATATATATCTTAGCATGGTTTGACTTGCAACAACACCTAATAAATAAATAAATAAAAATAGCATAATTATTTTGGGGCAAGAGATAACTTTAAAGTTAAAAGCATATAAAAATTCACCATCCGGTATTCAATTTTCAGTCCGCTCAAGTCCAAAGTAAATAAACATCAAGAAATATAAAATAATAGGATATATCTGCAAACAGTGGCGTATGATTAAAGACAATGTGCCTAGATAATCTTATCATATTGAAGAAGGCTTAATTTGTCTGATAATCTTATCATATTGAAGAAAGCTTAATTTTAAGGTGACAGCTACTACGCTCTAATAATTTTTTTTAGAGATCCGATGGACGAAGATTGAAATTAAAAACGGCAGTTTTCACTCTCTATCTTCCTACTATTTTGCAGTTACTGTTATATTATGTTCCACTGTCACTCTCATAATTTATGAAAAGTTTAGAGGTAGTTAATACTTCGAGTGTCCTTTCTCCCATCTTCTACCTTTCTGACAATATCACAATTCCACTAAAGTTATAAGAACCATGAGCTCAGAATTTTGCTAGATACTCGATTGAAAAAAACGTCATTGTATTACTACATCTTCAAAGATTTTGACTCAAAAATTACCCTTCCTGTTTCTTAGCCAGTTTTCAATATTTTAACGATTTAAAAATGATAAAAGAGCCTAATTTGGGGGCACCAAAGCAATGCTCTAATCTTAAAAATTTCCCCTTTCCACATTTTTGTTCACTTGGTTAGGATATTCCAAATCCACTATGCAAGGATTCACCGTATATCAACATTGAAACTTAGAAATCCTACATAAGATCATCAAGAATGTAAAATTCTTATTGTGGTTGCTTTTAGGCCCCACATGATGTACTAGTAGGAAGACCAGATCACAAGTTAGCAACTAAATCAATAAAAGGCCTGAAAGCAAGCCATCTACTTCAAGAATAATTGTGTGAGCCTTAGCAGTCAAGTTTGTATTCCTAACCAAAAGACAATATGAGAAGGTGGGCCTTGCAGACTTTATCCGCTGTTTTGCCAACACTTGGTATCAAGCATCTGAATCTTAGACTTTATCGTATCCCTTCTTAAACCTTAAAGAAAACATGGAGGTCTTGGGAGTCTAGTGCGCTGTCAAAACTCTTTTCACACCCAGACAAATAGTTTTGATCTTCTCCTTCCATTCTTACAGTGCATAAGTTAAACACGAATTCCTGAATACTACGCCTATTTTGGAAGGTCTATTTCGCTCAGCTCTCCAATACCTCTTTGTTAAAATGTTCAAATCATTTTAAATTCATGCCATAAAGGTCGAAATGACATGTTGCATGAAGCAATCCTAAGTTCATGATTTCTCAAGCTAAGATCCTGCAAGAAATAGCTTCGAATGCAGACAAGTAATAGGCGCAACAATCCTGCAAGAAATAACTTGGGTGTTGGCAAACATTCAGAAACGAGAAAGGCGTGGCAATAGATCAACCCTTGGCAGAAAAGATGAGAGGAAATAATTCGAGCAATTAAGTAATAGGCGCAACAATCTGCCCACTTGTAGACAAGATATTAGACAGATAAATTCACATAAGAGATAACCCTACATGAGACCCTCCAAATTTTATCTTAGCATTCAGAGTTGAGATTTACCCGGTCCCAATATAAGCCGAAAGAAGATGGTATTTATTTTATCATACAGGTTTCTTATAATTTTCTTTTACCAACAAAAATTAGTGATCCAAGGGTTCGACTTGAGAAGTCGAAATGCTCAAAGTTTCTAAGTTTTTTGTGACATATGAACTGAAGAATCATGGCATTGCAACACAATTCCATTCTTCCGCTGAAGAAAACTAATATATGGCCTGCCCCAACTCTAAGACCCACTTAAATCCTCGTTATTTCTTTTCGAACTCCAATTGCTCTATCAATCAACCTATTTCTAACAAATAGGTCTACATTTAACAAAAACCTCTATTTCTCACAAATACATCTACATTTAACAAATAGGTATACATTAAATCACATACATTACGATTAACAAAGTCAAAACTAAAGAAAATACCCAACAAAAAAAAAAGAGAAAGAAAAGAAGGAAACCTGACCTTTGTCCCCTCAATCCCAAACTGAAACAGCCGAATCCCCTGTGATTCAAGAAACTCCGCATTCGGTCTCGGATACGGCTCGGGGCAAAGATACCTACAGAATCAAAGCCCTAACCCTAATTCAACCTAAAAATTTTCATAAATATCAAAAAATCAGACTCACTCACACGATCGATCGAAGGCCGATGGTCTTCAAGAACCCGAAGTTTTCCGAACTGGGGAATCCAGACCGATAGATCCCCCAAGTCACCATCCCGAAGTTCGCCGGCGGCATCAACCGATCGCCGTCGCCTCCGCCGTCGTCGGCGGCGGCGGCGGATCGCCGTCGCCTCCGCCGTCGTCGGCGGCGGCGGCGACGCCGTAGGAATCCGATTCATCCTCGACCTCCGGTTCCTCTTCAAGGATCATCGCGATTCCCGATGTTTTCCCTCTCTTCGGCGATTGATCGAACAATTTGCCCTCGATTTTTTAATCTATTTTGCTATTTATAGGGAGGGGGGAAATTCATATAAAATTCGATGAAAAATGCGGCGGAGCGGCCTCGCTGAATCTCGGCCCATAGCTTTCATGTCTATGCGAGCGTCGTATCTGCCGTTGGATTTTGTTAGAGTTACGAAGACGGTTGATATTATGCGGTTGGTCGTATAGAAAAGGGAAAATCCAGGCTGTCGAACGAGGGACGGGCTAAGATTTTGGCGCTTAGCGGGTAACGGTTTTTTTTGGAAGTTGATAAATATACTCTTGTTTCTGTTGTAGGTGTACACCACCAACAGAGTAGCAGTTGAGGGTGGACTCTTTTTAAAGGGTTAGTTTCACAAAACGCCCCTGAACTTTGGGGCGTTGCATACAACTTTCTAAACTCTGTTTATCTCACATAATCCCCTGAATTCTCATGTCTCTCAAAACACCACTGAATTTTATCTTATTTCACATAACCTTCCCAGCATGTAATTTGGAAACAACTAAAATGTCTTTAAGTGAAAATCTCAAAATTTGTCACTTGTCATTTATACGCAACATACTTCCTCTTCAATTTTTGTGCTTTTTGCCCTCAAAAAATTTTTAGTTATCTAGAAATTATATGTAGGGACTAGGGGTACTAGGTGAGATAAGATAAAGTTTAGGTGAATTTTGTAAGACACTCAATAGTTTAATGAGGTTAAGTGAGATAAACAAAGTTCGAGAGGGTTATGTTCAACACCCCCTAAAAGTTCACGGGGTCTGGTGAAATTAACCCCTTTTAAAATTGGGCAACTCTTTTGGGTTTGACATGATTTTGTAAATACGGATGGTTTTATGATGAGTTTGTTTTATAATATTAATTTGGATAACTTCTTATCTAATGCAAATGGAGAAATTCTAGCTGGCACACGTGTAAGTTGATATGATAACTTTATCACTGTACACGTGAGGGAAAACAACAGCAATTATAATTTTAAGTATGAGACAACATTTGTTTCATAATAATAAAAAAGGTAAATTATGAGGATAAATGTGTTGGCTGATGGTGACGCTAAATGTGTAGATAAAAGGATTATCTACAAACTTAGCCTAATAAAATACTTTAAATAAGTATAGCATGCTGTTATTGTCCTTATCTATATTGCTGGCTATGATCTGGGCATCTAAATATTCACTTATATGCTTGCTTACAAATATGATGTTATTGTCCATATCTAATGCTCGCTTCCAAATATATACCCTTCCTTTGTTAAATATATCCAGTGTTCTATTTTCCTTTTTGAAAAGAGCAATTTTTTTTTCCTTTTTGAAATATCTATTCGAGAACATCTCGCAACATATATAGCAAGCAAAATCCTCCAAATATAGAATGCAAAAAAAAAAAAAACAAATTTATCCAGTGCTCACTTACAAATGAGATGTGCTTCATGGCATTCTTATATCTTGACTTTGACTTATGAATGAAACGGGTTTTTTTACTTCTTAGAAATATTTTTGGAACAAAAAGTAACATTTTTGTGGTTTTAGAAATCCAAAAACTGCGTTTGTTTCATTTTTTTTTAAGAAATGGTTTCCTAAAACCTTGTCAAATAGTGTTCTTTTTTGGAACGGCCAATTCCTGTCTAAAAGCTTGGAAATGGGCTCTTTTTTTAGAAATGAGGGTGCCAACTCAGCTTTTCATGGTGCTTTTCCTCATGATGCTTTTCTCTCATAATGTTTTTCCGATTTTTTTTGGGTGAAACAAACAGCAGTTTTGGATACCATTTCCTAAAACCTTATTTTATCCTTCCATATCAAACAAAAGATTTGGATTCCTTTGATATCCTAAAATTTTTACAGAATTAGTTTCTTATGTGGGAATCCATTTCCATAATTTTTTGGAAATGAACCAAACAGCCCCTTAATTGAAGTTAGACGACATCAATCACCAAGAAAATGTAACTACAAATTGAATCCTAGTCATTAATTGCAATACAGAATCTCTTTAAAGATGGTTTATGTATTAATTGACAATAAAAAATAGTTTATATATAATAAACATTATTTTAAATATAGTTACTAGGGGGAAAACCCTAATAAATAAATTCCTAGCCCAGGCAGATTTTTTTATAGACAACTTTGACAGTACATACTCTTAAAATTGAAGATCAGCATGGACATGCAAAATTGAGAGATCCCAGCAAATTGTTTCCTCAAGAATAATATCTGCACAATGACGACAGCTCGGTGGTAAAGATCAAATCCTGATACAATTTATGATGACATTTACATAAGTATCTAAATGCATTTCAGTTTCTCAAAACACAGTAGAATTGTAAATCTTCTCAAAAAATTCATCTTTTTCTAGCTCGCTAACACGTAAGATTAGCTTAGGTGCTGGCAATAGCATAAAATTTGAAGAAAGCGAAATTGCCAACTGAGAACCAAATTCTGCATATATCGGTCCGCTCTGATTTTGCTCAATTATCCTGCAGTGCTTTCATCAGATACAGTCTGTTGAAACTCTGCCCAGCAACCCTGTGAAGTTTTATCGGAAGAAATTAGCCCTCGTAATTGAGCCAAACCGCAATTCAAAATAACCATGGAAACAGTGCAATAATTCAAACATAATAAGGTTATTGCTTAAAAAATTCTATGCCAAATAACAGCATCTGAATGTCACAGTTCATAGTAATCTGCTTGCAAGCTGCAACTAAAAACAAACAAAGAACTGAAAATAAAGGAAACACAAATTGAAACCACGGCTACTCTTAAAAGTGAAGGGAACATAAACAAGTGATGAATCCATACCAACAATATGAAGGTAGAAAGCTTATTTGCTATACACGATTCAAATATGAAGAGTGGAACATAAGATAACAGAGGTTCAAGTAATGGATGAAAATATGGAACCCAGCAAATAGAAACCAACAACCAGCCACATATTTTGCTCCTCTTTGCATGGAAAGTTCGAGTATTACACTTGTTACATTATTAAAGAAAACTATGCCATGATGCTCCTTAGGAAAAGGTGAGTCTTAAAGAGTATAACCACAGGGAGCATCGTTAAGTGTTAACTAAAAGGGAAGTCTTATGCTGATACACGAAGTGCATTTACTATTTCTCAAACAATATTTCATATTTATGGACATAACTAGGAGAAGGTAATTTATAAGAATCAAAGTAAAATTAAAGCAATATTCTCACTAACATCAGATAGATGGCATGTTTGTTCCAGTTAGATGTTTTAGATTGATGTATCATATTTATCTATCAATGTTCTTATGTATGCATGTTCTTTATACAAAATAGATACTGGCAGACTCAAGCTTAATACATGTTCCACATCTCAGTAAACATACTTTAAAGATATGCTGAATTTTCTAAAGGCATGTCATCATACAATATTAAACCAAATAAGATATATAACATACCCATTGATTTGGTTGCAGTAGTTAGCAACTTGATTTGTTATCAGATAGCTATCCAAGCGGGAAGGCTCAGGTAGTGGTTTGAAGATAGGATTGGTAGGATCTTCCTCGGGCAATGGCTCTTCTCCAGCTGCTTTCCTTGCCATGTTTTCAGTTCTAGCAGTAACGAATGCACAAAAATATGCAAATATAGTATTTAGAATCAAAGAGGATTAGATTAGCGATTTACTGCTCATAAAGGACAAAGAAAGAGAGTCAGTAGGTCAGGTTCATAACCGAGTTTCTAGTTTGAGATTCAACTTAGCATATCCTTCCATGACATCATGTAACTAATCATCATATCTACAAAAACAACAACAGAGCTTTTATCCCGGTCGTCCACATCAATCTTATTCTTCAATTCAGTTCTATCAAGGGTTATCTCCTCCCTTGAAGTTAATCATAATCATTTACTTCATAATTGCTTCAGTCCCACTGATTGATTAATATCTAAAGGAGTGTTAATAGATAATCATATATGCCTTTGATTTTATATTAAAAGATCATAAAATCTCAAATCAGCTTCAAGATTTGATATGGAAACAGAACCATGCAACGACAAAATAAAATTTTTGTGTCAACATTACAAGTTTTAAATTTCAATCGGCCAGAGGCTAATCAGCACAGTAACCACCAATCCACCATGATACGTTGATAAAAATATCCATATCCAAATTCGAGCATATAATAAACTAGGTTCAAAGCCATATCACTAGCAAAGCCTAAATGGTATGTTCATGCTCAAGACTTGAATATGTTTAGGAACATGTATTATTACAAGCCATATCGCATTTTTTAAAAAAGAAGCAAAAAGAAGTTGCACCAAAAATTTTACTTTAAACTAGTATTACCTCCTCTTTTGAAGCCATGCCTGCTGTTGTGCTTGTTGCCTTTGAAGATTACGGTAATAATATTGGAACTAGAAAAGGGAAAGAAATAGAAATAAGCATAAAACTGTAGCCTAGGAAGTTAAAAAGCACAACATGAGAAGATCATACCTTATTTTGTTCAGAAGAAAGATCTTCCATGCATTCAATTAAAAATTCAACATTTCTCTCCATAAATGGAGTGGTTGATAAATTTAGGCGGTCATAATCACACTGAAAACAGTACAAATGTACAAAACAATATATAAAACATGAATATGAAAGTTAAATACACAAGAAAAAGATGGAACTTTAATACAACTGAGGCACTACAAGACCTGTGCAACCGGGGAATCAGGCTCCAATTCTGTCATGAATGCACTGATAAGTGCGGAATTTGAAACTTTAATCTGTAAGTTTGAGAAGTATGAAGATGAATTTAGTAAGCAACTAAACATATTAGCAGCAATTGCAGGGATATAGTCATTGCCAGAACAACAGGAAAACAATGGGTTCCATTAACTCTGAAGCTTGGAAAATGCAAAAGACAAGCAAAGTAAGTTTAAAGGATAGTGCATTAAGAAACAAAATACATACAGGTATTTCCTCAAAGATATCCACCCATGAGAGCTTCTTTTCCCTCAACCTATTACAAAAGGCAAAATGATCAGAATAACATCCATTATCAGACATAATAGAAAGAAGAAGACAGACTCGTACTTCTCTCCGGTAAAATTATTCTTCCGATATAGATCCATAAAGGAGTCTGAGAGCTTTAGTGCCTTGAGAGCTAAAACCCCCTGATTGGATCTTGCTGGATCATATATAATGCAAACACATCGCCGGATATTCTCCTGCAGAACAAATTTAGAAAGATAGCAACAAGTCAGAGAACTTCTTACCAAAGAGGATCCTATAAAGATAATTAAGGAGTCAAATGTGTCACCCTGAAACTACAATCTGAAATAAAGCAGTGACATCATTTTTAAGTGTTTTACACTAAGTAGGAATAGTAATTTCACGTGCATATAATTTCACAATCACATGCACATAATATGACAATAGTAAACTCAAACTTTGACTGTAACATGAGGCCTCGGTCCACGTGTAAACACATACAGGCATAGAGATATATGAGTCTCTTGTTACCTTGTTTGTACACGTGCATGTGAATAGTTTTTTGTTCTTTCTACTTTCTAGGCGTTCTGGGAGGATATGATTAATCAAACCAATTTCAAATTGATTCATACTGGCCTAACACAACTTATTAGTAGGTAGACCCAGATAACTTAAAGCACAGGGAATATCAAGAAGTACATAAAATTAGTTCTTGAGAACCGCTTATTTTGTGTTTTCTGCTTTGTCACACAAGCAATTCATTGACTTGCTCAGTGTTCCATACTCCACTTGGACAACAATACCAAGAGGCCTCAACAAGGGAGAATAATGAAAAAATAAACTACAAATAAGGAATGGAAGATATTCTCTTGATGTAATGAGAAACCTCAACAAGAAATAGGAGTAATTTTTTTTCTATTTTTATATATAATATCCAAATAAACCAATCACATGCAAGAACAGCCAGATAAAACAAGTGGTTAACAAGTGAATGGTCAATTAACTTGGCTATTCATCCCATGGATTTTCTCCCTTGAACACCTATAAAATAATCTCAGAATTGGTTTTTCAGTTCTCAATGGAAAGCATGAAACTGCAATACTCTATTCAAAGAAGATATTTGTAATACCTGGTAATTCATGAAAGTTTCAATCAGCTCCACTGTTTGGTACGACCCCAACAAAGTTGATTGATACCTGAAATTAATGAAAGAATAGAATAAGTGCCAATGTGAACTTGTTTGATTGTTAGGGAGGTGATAATTTCGTAACAACGTATAGATTCCTACAAGTGCCTTAAGGCAGACTTGAACACGTTGACAAGAATCAAAAACCATACTGATAACCTATGTTGCATGGGTATGGGTATGGGACACACGACAAATTTGTAAATGTAGGGTAGGGCGACACAGCTGTAGAAATATTTCTATACACAAATATTATATATTGAAATAAATAATTTATATGAGAACAAGATGATAATTAAAATTCCTATAACTTTGCGTTTCATCTATTATGTGGATTATAAATTAAAAAATCACTAGTTTTTGAACTAGACATTCAAATGACCCTTCAAAATCATAATTCGGAAGCCAACCTATGTCCAATGAGTTTCAAGAAGTGGATGTGAATAGTAGGATATATGCCCAAAAAATGTATGACAACTGTTTTGAATTAAAACATGTATTGTATAATTGAGTACATGCCTTAATAAATATATGCATACATGCAACGAGTGTCCAAGGAGTTTGGGTGCGGGTATGGGTACTGGTACGAGTACATATCAGGTAGTAGTACTACTTCAGATTAGAAGTACACAGGTAACATAGTTGATAACATATAATCTTAAAAGTTTGCTGCAAATATATCCTTAAAGGCAGCAAAATATAACCTAAAAAGTTATGTATTTCCAGTTTAAACTAATTTTGTTTAAACTGAATTAGATTGACTTCCAAAGGTTGCTAGATTGTGCGAAGAAAGCCATCAGATGAATATAAAGAAATGTTCAGTACTAATTTATGGCTATTTCACTTACCATCCTACCGTATTGTTGTCCACATTAACCTCCCTTAAGCACCTCATCATTTCAAGCTGATAATTTGCTCCATCTGCTTCAATCTCCTCATCTTCTTCTCTAATCTACAGAGATACACATTATAGTTAATATCAATGCAAAACTCAATCAGAAACAGAAGGAGACTGAACTGGGAATTTATAGACAAAAGTATATGTGAGAAATAACAAAATCATCTCTTGACGCTGCATGTGGAGATAAATAGTTCCTAACATAAAAGAAAACTTACAATTTCTAAAAAAGGGAATGAGCTTGAGTAAAAGAGGGGAAATGCAAATATCAGAATATATTATAATTCTCTCTCATAAAGTGAAATAGAAAGAGAGATTTAAACATACAGGGAAAGGGAAACAGTTGGTGACTTCAAGTACGCTACCAACATCAAGACCAAGAAGTTGCCCTGTTACCAGAGCTGGTGAGAATTCTTTGCAATGTTTGATTATTTTCAAAATTGCCTGCATAACGCCATTCAAAAATAAGAGAGGTAAGATTTCATATAAATACAGCCGATCTGGAGTTCCCCAGTTTGGAAGCAACACAAAGCTGGATTTTCATGGAGTATAGAATAAAAACTTAACATCACCGAAGAAAAAAGAAAGCACAAAAATACACAATCCAGATATGATTCTCATGTTGGGATCCTACCAGATCAAAATCTTAAAATTTAAACATTCAGAAACCTTAAGTGGCAATGACGAAAAATGTACCCAAAGCATGCAAGCTACCTATAATATAAAGATTTTAATTCTGTGAGGCATGCTGTGTAGTTGTGCTGAGGTACTGTGTCGACAATAACCTTCAGACTTACTCTTCTATACTTTCTCAATACTAGAAGTCTAGAACTAATTCAGGTAACTAAAGTTCTTAATTTATGGCACATTAAAGAATTTTTTTTCTTCCTCTGGGACATGAAGAGATGGTCATTCATCACAAAAGTTAACACTCATTACTGTCAAACTTATTAAATTCAACTGCCCACTGGAGCCAGATTGAACTTACAGGATTAGCTTGCACCTTGAAATGCTCAAGGGCATCATATTAGCTCAAATAAATTGACAGCCTTGAGCACCTAAACCAATAGATTATATGAACTGGCCAACATCAAAAAATTTATTCGATGTGAATATTATTCCTTAATTGACATGATCTAAGAACGCTGAAATCATTTTCTCATGTGAGCACTATGGGTTTTGTTACATAAAAGCCCACATTTTCCAATAAATTGCCCTAAACCCAGGGGAATTAGCAAAATAAAAAAAATCTGGACAAAATATGCAAAATTTTTGTTACCAATCCTTCCATCTGAACAACTCGAAGAGGCGGAGCGATCTCCTCCGTTGCCACCGCTTGAAGAAATGATCGCGCCATAGCTTCAATCCAACAAAAAGAAAATAATAAAAAAAAATCAAAAGAGCATAACTTTAACAAATATCTCCAAATAAACCCTAAGAAAAAGAAAATTTTCTTACTGTTTGCCGCCATTACGAGAAAATGAAAAAAAACCTTTACTAGTGAAATTAGGGCGACGGCGCGATCCACAGAGAGAGGGACAAGGCCTTTCTCGTTATGTTACGCTTCTCCGCGGTTACGCGCAATATGTCCTGTTCCCGCAAACAGCAAACAGATATTCAACAAACAGAAGTGTGCCACGTCAGTTACTAAAAGTGGACCCCGCAACTTTATACGGTCTTTCGAGGCGAGCGCATCAACGAGTCAAAACCCTAGATCATCAACAAATGGGGCTTATTTCTTTAAGTAGAAATCCTGTAGAAATTCAGAAGGATCAGCGATTCAATCGGTGTCTCAGATATGATGCCCATACGTTTCATCTTATTCTTTTTTTACTTACTGGCGATTTTTTAGAATTTTCTTCGTATTTCGGTAAATTTCAAAGGGTTCTTGCTAAATTTGATTCATTTTTCGAGTAAAATTATTTGATTAGTGCAAAACCTTGATTTTGTAGTTGACTGCAGTCAAATTTGTTTAAAAAGAATTGTTCTTTCTGAAACCTGTAATTTTTCTAATTACCAAAAATAGAGTAGTAATTATTATAACGTTAGCTGGAAAGAAGTGTACAAATGTGTGCATGTGTGTGTTTATGTATGATATCTGCATGCATGTATGTATGCATGGCTTGTGCATGTCTTAGATGTCTAAACCTTTGTATACAATATAAACAGAGAGTTTATATATTGCATATCTCCTCAATTTCTGTTTTCAAACCGTTCAACTCTTTCATTTTCCCTCTCTCTGTGTTTCTATTTTTTGTCTGTTCAAGAACAAGAGCCCATATCTTCTTCCTCAATTGCTACTGTTTCAGGTAAATAACTCCAAGCTCTCTCTTTTATCATTCTTTTCTTGAGAAACTATTTACTAGTAGTAAAAGTAGCTTGAATTGGGTCTTTGGGTTTTTAATGAATTGAATTATAAGGTGATGATTGCTGGAGTTTTTAGTCTCCGTTCTTGAAAATGTAATCAAATGGTTGTTTTTTTTTAATCAAGAATCGATGGAGGATATGGGGTTGTCCTTGGAACTGGAACTCATTTTTTCGAACTATTCTGTCTTTGTCTGTTTAAGAACAAGAAACCCAATTCGAAGAAGCCATATCTTCTTCCTCATTGCTACTGTTTCAGGTAAAGAACTCAAATCTCTTGTTGAACAATTGGGTTTTTTAAGGAATTGTGTCATGAGGAGAGGATAACTGGAGCTTTTTTACTTTTGTTCTTAAAATTTTGTTGTAAATTGTGACATGGGTTCTTCTCCAAAACTGATTTCATAACTGGGTTTAATCTGATCTTTATCATTTATGCAGGAAAGTACCATTTGGCTCATTTTTCCTGAGGTGCATTGGTTTCTTTTCAAGAATCAATGGAGATTCTCGGGGGTCAAAATCTTCTCGATCCTCCTCACTGTCACAATTCCATTCGACAAATGGCTGCCATGAATCGGTTTCTCGAAAGAATTCGGTCATCTTAGGGAAGGGTTTTGAGCTGTGAGGTTTGTGTCAAGGAGAAGATGGATAAACCACCAAAAGAGAGGGAGCAAGAACTCTTGGATGAGAAGTTTCTTTGTGTTTGTTTGGATTGTGAGCAAATCTTTTGCGGAGACCATAATTATGGGCTTAATTGTCATATGTATTGGCATGCAAAAATCACTGGTCAGCAGTTGGCAGTTCCTATTAGGGCACGGTGCTCTGTATGTGAGTCTCTTCTGCCGATTAGAACAAAGGAGGAGGAAGGAAACAAGAAGGTAGAATTACATAAGGATATCAAGGAAGAAGCAAATGTCGTTGAGGAAGAAGAATCCATGGAGGAGGGGAACGAGAATGTAGAATTACCAAAGGGCATCAAGGAGGAAATGATGCTCGTTGAGAAAGAAGAGTTCTCAGACTTGCCTTCTACAAAAGTTGTCAGAAGGATGAAAAACTTTGGGAGTACTTGCTACTATAACTCAGTCCTGCAGAACCTTCTGTCTATGAAGCGATTGCGGCTCTATTTTCCGAAATCAGGTCTCAACCCGGATCATCCTATCACCAGCGATTTATGGAACCTCTTTCTTGCCACATCATATGGAGATGCTGATATAGAATCATCTCATAAGAGTCTCTTTGATTCCATTTGTTCAATTAAACAAAAATACAAGGAAAATCAACAGCAAGACTGCCATGAATTTCTCGGACACCTTCACGAAGTGCTCATGCTAGAAAATAATAGTCTTATACCTGATGTTTTTGAAGGCATCTTCGCTGTTACTTTATCTTGTTGTCAATGTGGGCATACTAATACATCGCATGAGAAATTTTATGATCTTTCTCTGTCGCTTACTTTAGAGGAACGTTCAGCTGTAAAAGATGAAAGTTTTACATGGAAGTATAATGTGCTTCCCGCAAGAGAAAATTATGATGGTCGGAACAGTGGATCTTCTGCAGTTAAAGCAGATAATGCAGAGATTTGTAGTATTTCAGACTCATCAGATAGGTGTTCTTGGACATTGACAGGTTATATTGGTTACTGGCTTGATGAACAACAGAGTGTCATTGTGGATTTGGACAAAGAAGAAGAAAAGGAGGAAGAAGGAGAAGTACCAGCAGCAGCAAAGGTTGGCAAAGAAGACTCAATCAAAGATAAAGATGCAAAGCTAGACAAAGAAGACTCAATTGATGCAAAGGAAAACAAGAAGAAGAAGATGAAGACAGAGAACCTAAAGAAAGAAGAAAAGGAAGAACCGATAAAAGATGCAAAGGAGAAGGAAGAAAAGGAAGAGGAAAAAGAAGAGAAGAAAGAAGAAACGAAGAACGAAGGTCCGTCAGATTGTTGTGGATGGCATCCTTGTAACTGCAATATTGATTCAAGTGAAGTTCCAAAGCTACCTGAAACTGAGCGCATTTTGTTGACTGACAAAGAAGACCAGATTAAAGACAAAGGTATTAAAACACCAGAAAACTTTCCTGAATCGAGTATGAAGGGTAGCAATCTGAATCTTGCTGGCGAGTCCCTGTGGCCTTCTTATTCTGATGTATCAAGTTCTCTTCCTGGGTCTGTGCTGGTGTTTGACTATGATGCATCATCAAGTAGTGATAGCTGCGCATCATCAAGTAGTGATAGCTGGTCCCCAGAATTAACTGATTTTGATTTATGGAGTTGTGGAATTCTAAACAAACATCCTCCTACTGTGAGCAAAAGATGCAGCTCTTTTGTGAGTTCTATGAGTAACAACAGTCCTTTATCAATCGAGATGTGCTTGGACTTGTTCACAGCTTCAGGACGTATTTCACGTGAATGTGACCATTGCCCATATCATCTGAAGGATACAAACTCAGGACCCCAAAATGTCAAAGCAATCAAAACTGACCGTATCTACAGGGCGCCGCCTATCTTGACGATCCACTTGAAACGATTCGAACAGGATGCACGTGGCATCACTAAGAAAATAGATAGCCATGTCAGCTTTCAAGAAGTGCTTGATCTCACACCATACATGGATCATAGGTACTATTCTCAAACTTCATGTTATTTCTCCGAACTTTAATCTTTGATTCTAATAGGACTGTTTTATTTATTTCCCATTGCCTGTATTTTGATGACTTAAATCACAAAAATATTACGAGTTGGAATATGTTTTTTGTCTCTGTTTCTTATGCTTCATTATGTAATTATGATAAAAATCCTAAATAATCCTATGAAGAGAATGTACGGCGCCTCATTTAGCTATAGTGCTGCATTTTTTTTATCCAAGTGTTAATGTGCAAGTCTAGGGATTTCCCTTTGAGGCTCATTTTGAGATCTAAAGCATGTTCGTAGCAGAAAAATTAAATGTGATATGCACGGTGGACTATGCATTTATATCTATTCTGACCTTTGGGGTCCTTTTTGTACTTAAGCTTATTATGACTAAGAAATTTTTGCTTTATCTTGTTCCTATGGGTGGTTCATTATATCAAAGTTGTTAGCTTATGATGAATATTGATTGCTTAGTATGTTTGGCGAAAGCTATATGTCATTGACAATAATTGATGGCTGTTTACATCCACATTCAACAAGTAAATTACCTGTGAAACCTTTGTTTCATGTATTGGATGGTCAAGCAATGGTCGGCGAATGATCCTGTGGTGACACCAAACAGCGGGGCTAATTATTATAATGATCCTTTGCACTGTGTATGAATTTGATTTAATTTGGCTCATTGACATTACTATCTTCATAGTCCACTTCTATATAATGATCTCTCTCAGTGGACTCTATACTTGGTCACCAGTTACTAAGACTTGTTTTGCATTACAGTTTTGGGCTAATTGCGTATAGACGCCTTGCAATATCACCCAATTGTGGGATAGAATCCCTCCAGTTCTATTACTGCAGGTCAAAACCCTGAGAATTTTTTTTGATTATTATAATGATCCTTTGCACTGTGTATGAATTTGATTTAATTTGGCTCATAGACGGTGATGAGCTCTGAAACCTGCATGCTGCACTTGACTATTGTTGAATTAAAAATTTTGCTGGTCAACAACTTCAAAAATTGTGATCTTAAATTCACCATTATTAAATAATGCGCAGTTCTGGAAAGAGAAAGGAGACCCTCTATCGTCTGCTAGGTGTTGTGGTGCACAAAGGAAGAAGCATGGATACTGGTCACTATATTGCATATGTGAAAGGAGCGCAAGGCGAGGGTTGCGGCGCAGTCGTCGTTGAAGGAGAAGAAGGAGGTGGTGATCCTCTCTGGTTCAAGGCCGACGATAATGTTGTGAAAAGGGTCTCTCTGGAGGAAGTACTCAGGAGTAAGGCGTATCTTTTGTTCTACGAAACTATGTGATCACCTAAAAGACAACGATATTCTGTGAAATTCTGATAGCAAGGGAGATTTTATTGGATCTTGCACTTGTATGAGAACGAGTTCTTTTCGAACCAACATAATGGTGGTTAGTACGGAACCTCATTCTATTTTGCACTTATATGGAAATCTTATGGCTTTTTCTTGAGATGCACATTCTCGTTTTTATTTTTTGGTCTCCAAATGGCTGCTACCTTTTGTGTGTGGATGAATTGAAACTGACTGTCAAGTACGAATTATGAAATCTCAGCGACTAAACTATATATTGTGTTTTGTAATTTAGATGACCCTTTAGAATACCGAATACCTCGTTATTCGTCGAAAATGTTGATAGTAAGGGAGATCAGTTACATTTTAACAAAACAAAGTGAAGAATACAATGCAGAAAGAAAGAAAGGGGGGGGG